GTGTAAAACGTGCATGAGCATGTGACAAGGTCAGTAAGAATCAAAAACACATGTTGTAGCTGAGCCAGTGTAGTCTAGGAAGCTGGTGTCCAAACCAAACAATAGCAGTGAGGAAAGGATAACCAGAGAGCAAGGGAAGGATCTGCTGCAGGAAGGAGGGAGCTTTTATAGTTAAACTCACTGGGCTTAGCTGTACCTCAAGCAGCAAGCTTCTTTAATCAGCTCCTGCAGAACGAAGCACAGCACAAAAAACAAAACAGAGACACCCATCACCTGGGGTCATCAAAATATGCAGCGCTCAGATACCAAAATACATCTTTATTAAGTTTCACTGTGAAAAAATGACTCAAAATTTCATAAAAAAAAGTCTGTTCCACTTGACAGAGTATTGCAGATATTCAAATATGATGCAGTGAAATGAAAACAAAGCTGAAAAATGGCTCTTCTTTTAAATGTCATGTAAATAAAAGCGCTGGATACTGACAACAATATAAATCTCTAAACAATATTTCCCACAAATATTTGAAGACTTTTATGCAACAGACCTCAAATGGCTTGAAAATGCAAATGATTAGAGGTAATTTGTCTGGCCCTGAATACGTAACAGTCTGCTCGCTGTATCACAAAACAGTTACTTTTTAACAGAGAAAAGAAACACTGTCATCCCAGACTTGAACTGAAGATGAGAAATAAATAAACAGCTGAAAACGACTGAACCAAGATGGGGCTGAGTGGGACAGAAGTCATTACCACAGGTAGCTCAGTGATGAGCTCTGTGCTTGTCTCTGAGATGAGACTGATGACTTACAGTGAGCTCTGAGTGACTTCAAAGAGACGACTTTTTGACGTTTGCTTCAATAAGATTCTTATTTATGTATTTATTTTACAGTGGAGCTGTTTAATCATACATAAATACACACATTCACACTTAAAGCTGCCCAGTATGACCAGAAGACAGTGATTCATAAATTATCAAGTGACTGCTTCAATGCTTTGCAGACTCTTTATTGTTACATTATTATGAATCAGGACAATACTTTTACACAGCAACTTCCTCAGAGGGTTTCAGTTACCTGAACATTTAAATTCAGTAGAATCACCAGCATAAAAATATAAAACCAAAATTTTTACATTTGATTCTGGAGAAGTGGAGACGAACAGGTGAGCATCAGGGAGCAGGGTCAGGTCATTGATGGGAAACTGAGTCAGTCTGAGGGTAAGTGTTACCATGGTAACAACCCCTTGTTGTGAGAATGTCACACACTAGAGGAGCAGTTTATTAGGAACACCTGTACACCCGTTTGATTGTGATTGTACAAAGACATGCAGATATGGTCTTATTTACCATAAATGATTGTCAAACGTAATTAGACAGACAGGGCAAAATGTAATTAAATCCTCAATCTTCTTTGGTACTTCTGATTTAGCTTTTAGGCAGACAAATCAGTTTCTATGCTTAATGCTACAACAAAAATACTCCACAGTTCACAAAAAAATCCTACTAGAGACATGATTTTATCAATTTCAGAATCCTCCCATATGGAA